GGGGCGGGAGGGGGGGAGAAGAGAGCCCTCAAATCTGGGCACTGGTCCTGGGTTTGATACTGAATGATCCTGGGGGGTAGAGATTCAGTCCATGGGAGGGGCAGCTGGTCAAGGGGGTGGTGATGGAGGAGGGACTATAGAGGTGCCAGCAGGCTCAGGTAGTTGACTCAGTTTCAGAGAGAGTTTGAAAGGTGTCTGTGGCATAGTGGGAGTGCTGTCTGCTCTGTAACCCGGGGTCCCCCTGCGCTGTGATATGAGATTCTCACTGACTCTCCCAAATGTGTATTAACCCAGACACCTAGGCTCAGCCTCCCAGGAAGAGACACAAAGGGAGGAAGGCGGAGACCAGTACCTGGCTGGGGGGCAGGGCCTGGGAGGGAGGCAGTGGCTGTACAGGAAGCATGGAGAGAAGAAGCTAAGCTGGGGCCTAGGAGCGATGGACCCCTAACCCTAGGATCTGAGAGATCCTGGCCTGGGCCCCTATAGCCACATCACATAAGTGCTGTGCTGTATCCTGAAGGAACAATAAACCCCTCTCTATTCTATGACTGGTGGAGTCTGTTCTTGCTGCTTACAGGGGTGCAGAGTCAGGGGGAACCCCGACTGCGTCATCACAGTGTCACCTTGAAATCTCTCAGATTCAGTAGGGCCAGCCCCATCGATTGAAGCATCCCTATACTCAGCTCTTGGATGAGAATCTGCAGACCCAGCATGCCTATCCCCTACTTCCCTACCAAAAAAACACATTAGCTTCTACAAGAATAATTAGCAAAAATACCATCTGATAGGAACCAAAACATTGCACTATTGAAGAGGGGCCTCCATATGCTTCCAGCAATGGTGGGGAAACAAGTCATGGTGATTAGGGGGCTCTCCCTTCCACTGTGCTTTTAACAGCTCCAAGACTCATGACATGGGAAGAAAACAGAGACATAGTTTCTATTATGACTTTTGTATCTAAGTTTGCCAAGTCAAAAAACTCTGATTCTCAACATTGCAATGCCTCTTTTTTGAGTCAGAGATTTTGCTTTATGCAGCAGTAGAAAAGTATGGGGGTCTGCCATCTTGGCCAGATGTCAGGCACTGGCAGCTACAGTGTGACTGGAGGCTGTCTGGACTAGCTTCTGTTTTTCTAAATTTTGTTCCTCTGGTTTCCCGGGCAAAGCCAAGTAAGTCCAGCTAGTTCAATATGAAAGAATAATACAATCCCTTCAAAGAATAGTAAAAGGCATAAATAAGGGATATTAAAAAGTACGTGTTTACATAAAATTTCAGTAGTCACATGTTTACACGTGAGGGGAGGCAGTTCCCCAGGAGAAGGTGCACTGGGAGCTGGCTTTTAAGCTGCAGCAGAGCCAGGGTGGGGTAACAGGTAGGCACGCTGCAGGCATATGCAGGGTTAAACATCTCTAGTCCGGCAGCCCCTGAACCTGACTGATGCTGAACCAGAGAATTTGCTGAACCACGGGAGATCAATATTGTCTGGCAGTATTACCAATATTTCCACTGCTTACTGGGCTCTTACAAGATATTTAGAGGTAAATTAGAGCTAAGCAGCAACATAGAGCACCTAGAGCCAGGACTGGCGGCTGTAAACAAACTATGGGACTGCAGAAAACTCGGCCACGCCCATGGTAAATGGACACTGGCTAATTAAAATCATGATGGACCAGAGAGTGCCGGACTAGAAAGGTTCAACTTGTAGTAAATTTGCTGGGTACATTTGAAACCTCCTCCACAAAACTAGACTTGTACAGGCAGTCCCCGAGTTACGCGGATCCGACTTACGTCAGATCCGCAGTTACGAACGAGGCCCTCCCTCTCCCTGGTCTCCAGCAGAGCAGGGAGAGGAAGCAAAGCGGCGGAACACGCGGGCAGCGGACAGCC